CCAAACAAAGTAGTTTCGCTTTCACAACGAAACACAGCGTCACACACCGCGGCCTCGAGTGAGCGGAGGCCGGAGGCCTAGAGTGAGCCACGGCCTAGAGTGAGCGGAGGCCAGCTTGAGTGAGCAGAGGTGGGCGGGCTTGAGAACGGCACGGCCAGCGGATTCAACGAAGGAGCGTCCGGCGGGCTTGCAGCAACCACATGTGACAACCCCAGGCTGGACTCCGCTTCGTCCACGATGAAAGCCGATCCGGCGATCCACAGCGCAAAGTTGATGTATTTTCTCAGCGACCAGCACGGATCAGCTCCAGGCATGACGAAGCAGATATCGTCCTCTTTTGGAAGGCCAAATAAAGTAGTTTCGCTTTCACAACAAAACACACAGCGCCTTCACGACATGGCTGCGGCGGCAACAACAACACTACAGCGAGAATAAAAGTTACGCCTTTTTTCTTTGCGTGAACATTTGGGAGGCGTTATGCAAATCTTCCCACATCGTGACGTAGACATGTGGGGGCGTGTTAGAACGAGCCGTTTTAGGAGGGTGTGGTTGACTCTTAACTTTTATAAAGAATATCTCTTTGGATTTGAGACACTAGTCTTTGCAACTTTACAGATCTTCTTTATGCACCAAGAGCTTGTAACACTCCAAAGAGAAAGGAAAAATTTAAATGGCATCATATGACCCCTTTAAAAATTATTATTTATGCCACCATTCATATGCTTTAACAACTGTTTTCTATTTTAATTATATTATAATAAACATTTTATATGTAAAATGTAGTGCATCCAAAATAAAAGTTTTTGTATACATAATATATATGTGTGTAGATAGACCGAATTTCTTCAAACTGGAAGCTACACAATCGTCTCCCGAAGACGGAAGGATGCCGACGACAACTGTGTATATTTATTTTGTATATATAAATACACGCACATGCATGTATATAATTAAGAAAAATATGTTATGTTTATATATTAAATGTATTTATATATAACATAAATGATATACATATAAATATATACATGTAAATCCATGTAAATATTTTCAAAATATATATTGTATGTGTGTGTATTTATATATACACATAATAAATATACACAGTACACAAAAACAAAAACTTTTATTTTGGATGCGATTAATCGTTTGACAGCACTAGTAAAATGAACTTTATTCCCGGTGTGAAAGCTGAATTATCAGCAGCGACTACTCTAGTCTTCAGTGTCACATTCTTCAGAACTCATTCTAATATGTTGATTTGCTGCTCAAGAAAAATTTCTTCTTGTTATAAATGTTGAAAACAGTTGTGCTGCTTTTTGGTAAAACAGTGATACATTCTTTTCAGGAAAATATAGATAATTTAATGCATTCTTGCTGTATTAAAGATATGAATTTCTAAAACAAAAATGACTGTATATTAACTGTATAAATACATGTCTAATATACATTTTGTATTCATTCACATATACATTTATTATAATTTATATAAACATTTATGTAAAAAAATACACAAAAAAACACATACATTTTTCAGGATTCTTTGATAAATATAAAGTTCAAAAGAACAGAATTTATTTTAAATATAAATATTTTGTAACATTATAAAACATACTTTACTTTTGATACTTTTGAATGCATTCTAGCCATATTAAAAATATAAATTTCTTAAAACTTACTGTATATTAGCCGAATATTAACTGTATAATTCAATACATGTCTGATAAAATCATATTAATTCACATATTTATTTATGTATTATAATTTCTATATACATACATGTTAAACTATATACATGTTAAAACATTTTTTTAGTTATTGCATTTGTTATATAGGACAGTGGATATTTGTAAGGAGTGTGGAAGAAGGGAGGAATGGGTTCAGGAAAGGCTGAGATGACTCATTTAAAACAGGCAGCAATTATTCACACATCTGACGTCATGGCATCATGGGATTCTCTGCGGGATTTTAACACATACTTGAACAATGGCGTGCAAAATCCAAATTACATCATTGCAGCATAATCCTTTGCACTTTCTCAGAGTTGCGCAACTAGACTTAACTCTCAGCACTATCCTTTCTCACTTCACTAAGCCAGACAGAGAAGAATACAGTGAAATAACGGCGTGGAATCCAAAAAAGAAAAAGAGCGAAGTGATTTATTTGCATGGAGTGTACCGGACTGAAATAACCAGATCAACAATTTACTGCAAGCTATTAAAATCAGGCAGTGTTAAGAGGCCAGTAAATTCTGTGCATTAGACAGCCTGCATTCTGCCACAGCTCTGACTCTGATGCTAATTATGGCATAACAAACTCCTGTTTTTCTGCCACCGATAGCAATTTGATACTCTTTACAAACATCTGTGCTGTACTCCAGCAAACATACCAGATTCTCACTAACAATGGGGCTGTCTGTTATTTAAATGTTATGTCTGACTATGATATAAACAACACTGTTAAATTGTTGAAGGCTAGGTGCCTAGGTCATTCTCACTCTAGATAGCAAATGAATCAGCGCAAATATTGGCATATGTTTCACACACTCATAAAGCCATGAAAAACAGCCTGATGGATGCTGTGCAGCAGAGATGGCATCCTAGTACAATGCAAATCAGCCTGTTGATTAATATGACTCACTGTTGCAATCTGTAAAAGAGAGACCTTCGACACCGTGGGAGCTTTAGGGACACGGTGAAAGCAGGAATTTGATTAAACCCTTCTAAAGCACTAGATGATGAGCTGTACCTTGCTCTCGGGTGTCAGTGTGATGTCAAGGATGGAGTTGTGGTTGGCTGTGGTGGTGCTAAGGTGGTTGGCATTTTTCTGTACGTTGCTGGCACCGCTGTTAGCGTGTGTGCCCAAGTCCTGGCACGTCTGGCTCTTTAGAGACCCCTTCTCCAGGGAGTATTCAGACGCCTTGCCGGACACCGGAGGGTCTACGTGAGGAGAGGTCAGAGACGCTTCTGAAACACTCATTCTTACAGAGTCTAAAAGGGGAAGAGTAAATAATTAGGTCATTTTTGGTGGTTATTTTAACAAGAGATGTCATTTCAAGGTCATTCTGGATATATAGATGCTTTATAATCACATATATTGACTGATGATGCTCTCATGTTATTGTTTTCTTAGATAAATGTCTACACGACATATTAACAGGCCCAAAATGTGAAGGCACAAAAACCAAAACACTAAGGTAATTCTGAATTCCCAAAGCAAGTTAAGCAGTCAGCAAGAAAAGATGTTCCTCATACAGATATTTCGTAATGCAAATATGCAAAAAGGCAAAATGAGAAAGTAAAGAAAGGAGTACAAATGGGCAGAGGGTAGGAATTTTAAGCACAAGGGGTGGGGGTTCACAAAGACCCTCACACAGACATTGGTGGAGGCTGTTGGCGAGGAAACAGTTGCCAGGGAGAGGTAAGGCATGTGACTAGCTGATGTGAAGTGTGTGTGTGGCATTAAACAGACACTATTAAAATATTACACGATCATACAAACCAAAGATACACCAGTCACAACACAGCTGTATTGCTCCTAGCCATAATCTCGTGAAAAACTATTCTCAGCAATGTTAGTATAGTGAATAATGAATTCATGGCCATCATGAGGCAATTAGAATGCTTTGTGTTGTGTGACACACCACACTAATGATGCCTTTTAGCCACACTGCATTGACATCCTGCGCAGCCCAACTCTTTCTCTCTCTCTGTGTGAGCTAATGAACTCAAATGATATGAGATCTGGGGTTGATAGTAGTCCATTTAAACTATTGACTTCAAAACAGTTGGGCATTTGGCACAACAGAGTATGTAAAGCCATTACAAAGAGCTTTGTTTGAGATGGTTATTATCAGATTTTCAGTTCAGCTGTGCGACTATGCAATCAAAACCGCAATAAAAATGAACTGAGAAAGAATAAAAATGCAGAGACAATCAGAGCTGAGCATTTGTGACAGTTTTGTTGGAAATGCAAAATATATTGGTACTAGGGCTGTGCAAAAAATTGAATGCGATTTTCATGCTCATCTCGTCAGTAAAGCCGGTTCTGTGATTAGTAGTAAATCTCCAGCACGTGCTTTCAGATGGAGCGAATTTACTACATTCGATTTTTTGCACAGCCCTAATTGGTACCGTATCAGCTATCAGCCAATATCATATTTAACCTTCCACGATGATTTAGATTACCTTCGCATCATCTAAAACTCACTTGAAATTCAACTTTAAAAAAAATTTAATTATTAAATATTACATTTTTAGCAAATCTATGACCTACATTGTAATGTTGTGATGCCTAAATTCACTTACAGCATTTAAAATGTTGATTTTAGATCCTTGGACCAGTTTTACTTAACAGGGTAAATTAGCGCAACAGCGCAATTCCAAAAACAGTGCCGGAAATTTCTGCGGGTGATTTACTAACAAATTAAAGGGTTGGTTCACCCAAAAATGAAAATTCTGTCATTAATTACTCACCCTCATGCCGTTTCAAACCCATAAGACCTTCGTTCATCTTCGGCGCACAAATCAAGATATTTTTGATGGAATCTGAGAGCTGTCTGACCCTGCATAGACAGCAATACAACTGAAATGTTCCCAAGTCCAGAAATGTAGCAAGGAGATCTGTAACAATCCATGTGACATCAGGGGTTAATCCGTAATTTTACGAAGCTACAAGAATAATTTTTGTGCGTAAAAGAACAAAAAAAACCAAAACGACTTTATTCAACAATTCGTCTCCTTCACGTCACCCTGTAGCGCCATTTTAGAGTTTTCGTGTGCTGTGTCAGCTGCGTCACACGGATACGCGGTTTTCGTTCAGATCAAATCACAACAACGTAGGAAACAGATCCGGCGTGATCTTAATTTGTGCTCCAAAGATGAACGAAGGTCTTACAGGTTTGAAACGACATGAGGGTGAGTAATTAATTTTCATTTTTGGGTGAACTAACCCTTTAAAGAACACAGACGCAGCATCTTATTTACATATCAACCAACACAATATACCAAGCGCAGAACAAATTAGCGTAGTCGCAAATAAAGAATAAAGAAATAAAGAAGCCACAGTATGCTGAAAAGAACCGAAGGACAAAAAATGAAGGGTTGCAAGAAGTTTTGATAGACCTAGTATTGTATGACTCCTAGGGTTTCAAGTCGTCTTTTATTTCCTGAAGCAAATTAAAAATAACATGGCTTGGCAAACGATAGTACTCTACTCCCATAAATTTTGCGTCTGAAAGGGAGACTCCTACAAATACATATTCAATAAGGTGCGGTGCAAAAATAACTGTGTCCATGCCTTTTCAGCGCTAATTTGACACTGCACATCTTTAGTAAAACCCTGACAGTACTATTTTAACACCAAAAGACGGTTTGCGCTGGTGCAAGCTGTTAGTAAAACTGGATCTTGGTGTTTTCTTTTTTATTTTGACAAAATAGTATAGAATTGTATTATAATTTTAATAATCTTAAAATTATTATTAACTCCTTTTTGTGTCATCAAGGATTTTAATATTGTTGCATCCCTAATTTTTTTGTGTTTTTTTTAAATACTTTGAAATCATTCAGTAAGCAATCAGTTACAACTGCAGCAAAGAAAGAATGGCAGCAACCAATCAAAGCAGGGGAGGCGGGGCTAAACTTCTGGTGATGGAATACTATGGGGAAGATCACAGAGGTCAAAGGGTTACCAAGTTATAAACACTTAATACAAACGTGACTGCTGTAGAGAGAAGCAGAAAGAATCATGCAGACTGAACTGGGGCCTCCATTCAGAAGCATTCAGTTTGCACATGCTTCGAAGAACCACTCTCCACAACACTATCTGTGGGTCACGCACCACAAGCTGGAGAATGAGTTAGAGAAGCTATCACATATAGCTCTGAACAAATGGCAATTATCATCATGGAGCCAATTATATGAAGCAAAGCAGAGCGCTCAAGGGCTTTGTATGCGTTAATTTAAACTTCATTAAAACAGATCAAATAATTAGCCTGCTGCACTATTACAAAGGCATCATCATCATCAGTGTGTGGAGGGATTATAATAAAAAAAATACATATTGATAAATGTCATTAGGACAGTCCGCACAATGAGTTAGAAAACACAATATATCTAATACAGGTACCTGCACTCCCTCTATCCAGCAGTGAATGGATCCAGTTGGAGGCCCCCTGTTTGAAGTCTCGGAGCAGCAGGGCAGTATCTCTCCTCACCATGCTCAAAGTGCTCACCTTCTCCACCTGCTTCTCCACCTGTGGATCTGTGCCTACACACAGCAGAGAGGGAAAAAAGGAAATAGTAAATAACATACAGTAGGGGTCAAAAAATCTAAATTGTAAGTGTGGGAATCAAACAAACAAAATTAAATAAAAAATATATATAAAAAAAGAATAAATAAAACAAAGTAGTAGAAAATTTAAAATTAAATAAAAATAAATAAATCTAAACAAAAGAACAAAACCTTTTTAAAATTAAAGAAATTACAATATTAAATCACAAGAAATTCTACTTTTTTCTTAGGTCGTTAATGAAATCAGCAAATTTAAGACATGCATGTGAAAAAATTGGTACAAAAAAAACTTGTAGAGCTGTCATTAAAGCAAACAGACGAGAGACCAAATGCTAAGAGATTATATTACAATCTAAAAAAAAAGAAAAAATTTACTGTATATATATATAAAAAATATATATAATTTTTGTACTAATAATATAATTTTTTATTTTATAAACCCACTTTATAATTAGATTTTTATCATTTATAATTTAATTTGATAAAAATAGTATTTTTAACCCACTTTGTTACACTTGTGTTCCAAAATCACCAGCTTACAAAAAAACTGCTTTTAAATTATGGTTATGCTATATTACCACCAAATATTTATATAAATATTTTTATCAACTTGTTTTCCTTATTATTAGCACAGGTTTTGTATTTCTTTTTAGAACTGATTGATCATACACCTCCATTTTTGAGTACAAAAGAAATACAAAACCTGTGATAATATCCTGACAAAAAGATTAAATCCAAGACTTGTAATAATACAGCATAATGAGAGATTTACAAGCAATTTTTAAAAAGCAGGTCATTTCTGACAGGAACACCAAATTAGGTAAAGGATTTTCAGAGGAGCACAAGCGTTGTATATTAAAAATGCAAAATAGAAGCAACTTAATTTGCTGCTCTGTTCTCTGAGAACGAATCAGAACAGAAGAGATATAGATTTTAAATATCCAGTACTACTGTAACACAAAGACAATATTGCATTCGTTCTCCAGCAGAGGAAAGAAAATACAAGCCGTGGGCCACCGATTTTACTTCACCATTACTATGATTGAAAACACTCGAATCATTTATAACAAAATACAAGCCTATTAATCTATTACTGACGTGTGTGGCTTCACTTAACTTTACTTGTTGAAATCATTCATCATCATTAAGGTGTCTACACTTCCTAAATTGCGAATATGCTAAACTTTTACCAGCGATAAATTATGCATCGGACCTGACCGTTCCAGCTCGCTAATAACCCGAGTCACAACACAGCACTATTTGTCATAAAATCCTATTACGGCCCCAGACTGACCTGCGTAAGCACTGAGGCAGCGTGAGAGCACACTGAGGGGCAACAGAGGGTCCATGAGGGTGAGCAGGCGGGATGGCGAGGCGTACACGGTGAGCAGGGTGGCGGGGTACGCGGCGACGATGCCATCCGGCATGCGCACGCCGTGAGCAGCGGCCCGCATCGACACGGTCACACACAGATTTCCTCCTGCGCTGTCACCGGCCAAACACACGCGCTCACCGGTCCAACCTGAGGAGGAGAAGGGCCAACAGAAGAGATTTAGGAAGGAGCAGACCAGAAAATGAAGTGAGCAATAGATCAAATAGAAAATGATTGAGAATCAAGAAGATAAATATACTCTATAATTTTCAACTTCAAACGAGGTCACATTTTTGCACTGATCTGAGGCACTCTGGCGTGGTTTTCACACCAAAGACACCCAAAGAGAGTTATTAGCAGCGCGTGATCCGCGTCATGATCCTGAGATAGATAGCAGAGGTGAGAGAACACTGAATGATGAATATGTTTACGCTGCTGTAGTCAGAACGAGTGTGAGCTGAGTTTCAATAGGCATCTTTGTTCCCAGTGGGATCTCGACACCAGCACAGCACAACAGTATGACAGACCATAAAGTCAGCCAATTTCACTTGTCTTGTACCTTAATCAGTTTTCTTAAGGACTAATCAAGTGGCTGAATGACACAATGTCGAAAAAATTTAATTTAAATAAATAATTTAAAAAGCAGTCTGGGAGATGGATGATGCGATTACTGTAAATATTGTATTTAGTGTTCCATTAAAGTGGTAATCAAACTAACAAAATAAAATATTTCTCTACAAAATGTGATCTGGCAATCTGGAGGGACCCTTTTTTTTATTTTTTGGAGTGCAGTTTTTTTTTTACCTCTGATGGGTGAATGTCAACCTCAAAAAAGACAGCATGACAAAGCAAAAAAAGGGTTGACAAGTGCTGCCACCTCCCACTGAAAGTGAACTGGGAATGTTGGGTTATTGCATACTGCATAAAGCATAGTTTATAAAAGCATAAAAGCTTCAAATCAGCATGAAATGGAAATTCACTCTATTTTGTAAATGCATGTAAGATTGTGAATAAGTCATGTTTCTTATATTCCACACAATATTTAATCAAAATTTCATAACTGGACCTTCCAGTGAAAACGACAGACTTCCTTCTGTTGACATATGCCAGACTTCTCCAATAATTTAGTTTGCTTAAACCCCTGCAAGTTCTCATTAATCTGCCTCCACTTTTGAGTGCAATATCTGCATCTCAAAATCCAGCAGAATGAAGTGCCCGCCCAATATTGTTTTCTTTTTCAATAAGCCGTTACACACTGATGTTCATCACAATGTGGAGAAAAAAAGTTATGTCGTTGCTTTCATTTCATCGCAAATTTAAGAAACAAATATGAATCACTGGTATCATGTGATCAGGAAGTATTAAGACAGGGCTATTGCCCTCACCTAGCAGGTTGTGGTTCTTGATGGCCCAGCAGTAGGCATAGAAACATTCTTCCAAAGCCCGAGGAAATGGGGCTTCAGGGGCCAGAGAATAGTCCACCGAAAGGACGGGGGCATTCAGGTCTTGAGACCAGCTCCTCAGATACGGCTGGAGGGAGAGACAGACACACACACACAAATGAAGAATCAAAATTGCTCAATTTTTAGGGTCTGGAATTCATAGATATTGTAGTATTTCTAGTCTGTTTAACAATAGAACAAGAGAAATTGGTTGCAATTCCCAGATCATGCTCACTACATGCCATGCATATTTCTATAGTGTACATTATTAGTGTTTGAGAGGTAAGTTTCTCCTCAAATGTAGTACATCTTTTGCTTTATATTATGGCTTTATTTCATTGGTGTGTTAACAAAGTGGTTCTAGCATTGCTGACTGATGGTAAAGATCCACATGATCAAATCCTGAACTGCTTTCCTAGCTCACACCCCTAATTCCTCTCTGAATCCTGACATCTTGTAGTTCCCAGCTTTAAGACAGTGATTTGAGAGTGACTGAGCTGGGGAAAAGAGCCTGAATTACTATCCTCTAAACGTTCACTTCAAACAGCTTCTGTCACCCTGAGTACATGCCTGACGGCACCTCACCATGCGTTTACATAAGAGAAAACACTTAAGGAATGAACATATTTCTTCTTCTTAGATATTTCAGTCTCTACCATTTTTCTCGTTCTCCCTCTCTCAGTTTTGTTTTGTAGTTTAAAGACATGATGTGTGCTGACATGCGTCACAACATGTTGCTCTGCCTGCCAGATACATCTCATATCAACGTGTCCATTGTTGAGTGGCGCTCGTTCAAGCAGCTAATGCATTGTGTCGAGAACGCAGGCTCCCGCTGGTGAGTGTTTATGTGACATGAAGGTGAATTTTGCATGAGAGTGGTGATAATACGATACTTTAACAGAGCAGCAGTTTCATACTTTGCACAAGGCACTGGACACAAGTGAACACAAATGACCAGTATCTTATTCCGCTTGCAAGAAACTGCTCTGCATAATACGCAACAGAAGAGGCACTATTAAAAACCACTGAATTAATGTTTAGACATTGAGGTGGGATCCTGGGTGACTGCAGTTAATTTCCAAAGTATTCAAAATGAAAAAAAAATCATGCCATGAGCATTTCAAGTCACATGGGTAAGATGAATCTAAAGGTTAAGAGAAGCTCTTTATACTGCAGAATCTTGGTGTTTCTTCAACTATGGGTACGTTCAGAATATAACCTCTCATTAGAACACAATTTAATTGTCAACTAATAATGACAAACAGTGGACAAATATGAATCTATGAATCTTTTTTTCACCACATCTCAAATGACATATGTTTAATTACATTGTGTTGGAAATGGTGTTAATAGAAATGACATTTTAATTTTTTTTTAGAATAGCCGACTCCTTTATTTTGCAATGATGAATTTCATAATCATAGCTAACATTTTATGTATTCTACATACACAAAATCACATACTTTCACATTTTTTGCATCATTTGGCAAAATTACAGCTTGAAATTACGCATAATAAAAATATCCTGCTAAGTGATTTTATCTTGATTTTTCTTCATACATTACGTTTCTACATATTCATACATTACTAATTTCCTATCAGTCACTGATGCTGATTTTATTATTAGTAATTACTAAACAACTATCAGCTTGCGCTAGCGCAAACCCTCATTTGGCGTTAAAGAACTACTGTCAGGATTTACTAAAAACACACAGTGGGAAATTAGCGCTGAAAAGGCGTGGACAGTTATTTTTGTGACTCACCTTATTGAATATGCATTTGTAGGAGTTTCCCTTTCAATCGGTAAATTTATGGGAGGAGAGTATTTAAATTAATTTTCCCTTCCCATCGGTTTTTTTTTTCCATAAGGAGGAAATCATATGCCTGATGACTTAAAAGTAACAGGTCTGCATGATTCATGGTAGGATGAAAAAGAGGGGCATATATGAAGTATAAGGAGAAAGAGAAAAAAAGATACCTCATGCGATTTGGAAGTCTGTGCCACAAAGCCTCCTCCGTGGAAGTGCAACACCAGCCATGGGGAAGGAGGACTGCACTTCGTCTTCAGGCCCAAAGAAAGATATATCGGGCCCCCCTCTGAGCGACACAGTGCTAGTAATTTCTCACTGTCCTGAAGACACAAATGGAGTACAAGCACCAAAAGAATGAAGAGCTACATATTAAAAATTTTGAAAGATTATTTAATCACAACACAATTTCCTGAACAATACTTATTTTGAATCTCCGTGCCCCACACAGAGGCAAAAACTCTAATTTAGGCAAGAGACGAGTAATTAAACGCTACAGACGTGCGGTTCTTAAACACGTTTGCGCTGCAGCTGGATCAATAGGAGTTCAAAGGGTGTAAAGCAAAGTCAAGCAGGCTTTTTAAAACATCATTACATCCAAGTCATCTATACTGCAACCAATTCAAGTCCTCCCATGACACCGAGAGGTATATCAGGAATTAAAGGGCTTTAAGTAAAGGATAAAAGGAGAAAAAGTCAAGCTCAACCACTTTATTTAGCTAAGCACACCTCATTAAGACTGGCGGTTCTTTTATTCATTCATCGCTATCTGTGCATATAAATTTTTTTATTTATTCACAAGATAAGAGCATGTAGAGTGGAAAATTGACTCTCTTTGAAGAACAGAGAATTCAGATTATAAAAATGAAAAGTTCATGCTTGAGCTTCTGTGAGGAGGAGAGGGAGACATAAGCGAGAGACGATTATGATTCAAGACTAATTAAGACTGTCCATGACATCAGTGTGAACTGCTGTACCTGTCCTTCTCTCAGCTCATATGAGATCAATCTCATCTGCACAGGCCCCGGGCCAATATGAGCTGCAGGAGGACACACAGTCACCGTGTGGGTGGGATCTGCCACCAACGGCAGGTCAAAGGGCATGGGGGGAACAGAAAGAGCTCGATTCACCTTCACCTGTGTGGCCGTCATAGACACCAGACTCTTCAGAGAGATAGAGAGAGATGAAATAGAGCACAGATTAATTTCCATTTCATTACTATGTGAATTGAACTTTGCAATATGAGAATTTACACAGGTTATAAGTGCTCAGTGTGCAATCTGATCGGCTGTAGCAAAAGATAGTCAAGTATATTCAAAAAACACTGGTGCAAGGAGAACGTCAATAGAGTTTTACTACTCAAGAGAACTGCTTTTAACAATTCTGATGCCTAATCTATGAAAATAGAGTACTGCAAGTAGGGCAAAAAATTTATTTGGGGATTATTCTGACAAATATATTCATTGCCATTTGAACTGCAATTGAGTACTCTGCTGTCAGAACTCTTTAAATGTGTTCAAGCTCAGAGCTGAGCCAAACGTGAACAGAGTAAAAATTAAGCCAGTTCTATTCAAACCCACATTGGGCCTAAATTTAAAAGTTGAATTTTTTTCACTTTAATTGTGAAATGGATTTAGCCAAGGTGGAAATAAACTTATTTTGTCCACCACAGTGGCCTTTTTTTTTAACCAGCCTTACTTAATTTTTCATTGTATTTCACATTTGGTTGGTATCCAGTGTTCATTTAGTATCTAAGCCTCAGCTCACTTTTCATTCATAGCTTTTTTTAATCCCAGTTAAGTCAAATAATATAGTATAATATAATATATAATATAATACAAAAAATAATAGTAATAAAATATCATCATCATCACTGTGAAGGTTACAATTTCATTATTACAATGATAATCTGCTTTTGGCACAATTTCTTCACTTTCATGCAGATTTGTTTTTATTTTTATTCAAAAGAAAATCATTTTGAGATGTGACTTGCATTATTATTGAAACTGAAGGTTATATAATTTTCTTTCAAATAATTGTGCTGCCTTAATGAAAACTGGCAGGATGGTTAATACTAACTGATAGAACTTCAGTCTCCGTTACGTTCCAGAATGTCTTCCAAAAATGAACATCCAGGTTCTGAGTGATGCGTTCATACTCCTGACCTCTCAGTTCAGGGTCAATGGCATACTTCCCAGAGGTCAGGAAAGAACTGGCTGCTACACCTGAGAGAAACGGACAAATAGACAGACAGATGAACGGCTGTCTACATACAGTAACTGTCATATCACACCAGGGCATCATACTTAGACCGTAAAACAGAGGGGAAAGACATGAAAGTGGGTTCCAAATCAACAGAAACACACAGATATTCAGCTGAAAATCGCATCATCTTACCTTAACAAACATGCACGAGCAATTAGTATAATAATTTACAAACATCACTAGACCAAAAAAAAAAAACTGATCTGTAACCACTCTTGCTTTTTTCTGTTCTCATGCTAAAATTCAGCATATGAACTAGGGGTGGGAGGAAAAAAATTATCTGATGCATCGCAATTCTGAATGGTTTCTAAAAACTTCAGAATAGATCCTCATTTGTTTTTTTCCTACATATGTGCAAAGGCACTTGTGTGCACTAGAGAGAGCCAGTATTTCAGTGTTTTCTCTTCTTATTTAAGGACAGGACAAAACATCTGATATGCTAAAACAGATCTGTGCATTAGTGTGAATGCAGCCTATTAAACCTGCTGTCTGTCACCAGTAATAATCAATCTGCAATAATGAGAAAAATCCATCACTGCACTTGTCTGGAAAACATTCAGATACTAAAAGCACTCTCAGATACTGCAGGCACTTTTTGTTTATTGCTTGTAATGCTTTTCTTTGTTCCCTTTTATTACTATGTATTTGCTTGAAGCTATAGTTATTAATAATAATTAGTTAATAATCCTTCACATACAACTGTTTAATTTATTAATTCGTAAAGTACTTATAATTATATAATTCATAATGAATATACACAATTAAATTTAATATTCAGAGTTCGTAAACTCATTATTAATAATAAAAAAATATTCCCACCCCAAGCAGGAACAGGGACTGACCATCTCTCTAGAGGGAACAGGATAATCTACCAGCAGAATGGATGACAGTTTTGGGAAAGACACAAATTTCTCATCCATACTGCCCTCTTTGAAAGCTACTCACCATATGGAGCGATATCTCCTGCCTCCACTAGGGTGCAGTATTGAGCACAAAAGACAATATTAGAATGCCTCTGCAGGTTAGAGTCCATACAACTGCACTTTTGTGTCTTAAAAGGGTGGTTGATTGCGATTTCACTTTTTTAATGTTAGTTAGTGTGTAATGTTGCTGTTTGATCATAAACAATATCTGCAAAGTTACGAAGCTGAAAGTTCAATGCAAACGGAGATATCTTCTTTTAAAATTCTGGCAGTTTAATGCCTACAAAAATGACTGGTAAGGGACTACAACTAGTTACTTCCCGGGTCCGTTACGTCAAGAACCCAGAATTTTACATAAACCCCGCCGCAGATAAACAGTTCAGTGAATACACTTATTTTCACATACTATAGCAGGGGTGGCGAACGTCGGTCCTGGAGAGCCGCAGCCCTGCAGAGTTTTGCTTCAACCCTAATCAAACACACCTGAATAAGACTGGAGTTCGCCACCGCTGTACTATAGCTATGAGAAGCGTTATACATGGATTTGCGTGCGGTTGCCGAACTGTATTAAAGCTTTAATCAGAATAAAACTGTATATTAAAAGCTAACAGAAGCAGTAGCATTTACAAATAACAGCGTATCTAAAAGTATGAGACAGTTTATAAGACAAAAAATCTTAGTCCTGCCATTAAAAGCCGGGCTTGCACAGGTTCTGCGCGATCCTCTTCACTAATATCCTCTGCGTCTCAATCGGGCTCAAATTGATAAGCAATATAGACGACGTCATTGTTTACAATACAACCGGAGCACGTGCCGCTATGTTGAGGGGTGGGACGTTTAGAGTGCGCTAGAGGTGGTTTAGCCAATCACAACACACTGGGCCAGCTAATCAATCAGAGCCCATCGTGTATTTCTGAGCGAGGGGCTTCATAAAAGCAGGAAATGATCAGCGCGTTCAGAGGAGAAGGGACAGAGAGGTGTGGAATAAAGGTAAATTATGTGAAAAATAATGAATTTTTTAACAAACGAAGCATTAACACATGTTAGACTGCACCCCATAAACACAATCAAGCCTATAAAAAAAAACAGTCAACCACCCCTTTAAATGAACACTAGAGGAAAACCTGCTGTGCAGACATTCGCAAAGATTAAGTAGTGTGAAACAGTGACCTCCTCACATAAATCAAGGGGCATATAAAGAAAGCTTTATCAGGGCATGCTGAACGTGACAGCTCTACTGACCTATCCCTGACTGATGCTTCTTGTAGTTGTCTCCAAAGGCAACCAGGCTAATAGCAATTGACTGCAGGAATGGACGGATGGCAGGAGTAAACTAAAGGTAAAGTGAACAAGATATTCAGCTGGATAATTTTCACCTTAAAACAAGAAACGTATTGCACCAAAAAGTTGACAGCAAAAACAATAATACTGTGAAATATTATTACAATTTAAAATGGTTTTCTATTTTTATAGATTGTAAAATGTAATTTATTCCTGTGATTACTCCAGTCTTTAGTGCCACATGATCCTTCAGAAATCATACAAATATGCTGATTTGGTACTAATGTTTGGAAGCATTGCTTATTATTTTCAATGTTGAAAACAGTTGTGCTGCTTAATATTTTTGTAAAATGAGCCATTGATGAATACAAGAAATAGCATTTATTGAAATATAAATGTTTCTAATATTGTAAATGATCAATTTTATATAACCTTGCTGAATAGTTTTAATTAAATTAAACCAAATCTTACTGACCCTAACCTTTTGAACAGCAGTGTGCATATATTTTCACATATACATATCTGTGTGTGTCTATCAATGATTTCTGAAGAGTCATGTGACACTAAAGAGTGGAGCAATGGCTGCTAAAATAAAATCTACTTTGTCATGACATATTTTCAAATAGAACACAGTTATTTTAAATTGTATTAATATTTCACAATATTACTGATTTGACTGTATTTTTGATCACATAAATGCAAACATGGTGAGCATAAGACTTCCTTCAAAAACATGAAAATATATTTTTGAAACCATTTGCCAACAACAATTGAAATAACTTTGGATATCAACCTTATATTAAGTGTATAAACATTGCATTCATTGGTCAATGAAATTCTGAAATTCATAAGCTCATGTGCTCATAAACAAACACACCTGAAATCCAACACAGCGGCCGTAGAAGCAGCCCTTGTGCATGGAGGCGTACTCTCTCAGGAAGCTCTGACTGAGGCCACTTTCCTCCTGGAAGAAGAGGTTGCCATGGCTGTTGTCATGAAGCAGTCTCTGAGCTAGATAGAGCAGCGCCCTGAGCTGACACAGAGCGCTACAGTACGCCTCCATCTCTGCTGCATTGTGGCTCACGCGGAAAAAGATGCTTCGCCTGTTGGATGTGATATAGCGTCCTTTGTGAATGATGTGGAGGAGGCAACAGCGCACCACCTAGAGAAGAGGGTGACAACAATGGAGGTGTATGCTAGAAAACAATAAGCAAATGCATCAAGCAGGAGAGAGGAAAAGCAATGTAAAACTTCTTAGTGAGAGAAACGAAGTCATTGAAATGAAATGAGGGGAAGGACAAAGACACACACCCTCGCAGAAATTAGCTGAAAGGAACAATTCACCCAAAAATTAAAATTTGCTGACTCACCCTCAGGACATCCAAAATATAGTTTTGTTTCTTCTTCAGAACAGATTTGGATTAATTTAGCATTATATCATTTGCTCACTAACAGATCTTAAGCAGAGAATAAATACATTTTATTCTTATATCATTATTAAGCTAATAAAAACATGACTTCAATCTATCACAACTTTAAAAGCGAAATGCTTTGATGGATTTGTTTCTTACAAACATGCAGCTTTTCGCATGTTTAAGACATTAATTAATTAACTGGAATCGTGTGAATTACTCGTGGATTATTGTGATGCTTGCACTCTCATTCTGACGGCACCCATTCACTGCAGAGGATCCTTTGGTGAGGAAGTTAGCAAGGTGAGCAAAAATAACGACTTTATTTAACAATTTCTTGTCTTCCCGGTCAGTCTCCATCACCATTCACGACAGTACCAAAAATATCAAAAATATCTCTATTTGTGTTCTGAAGATGAACGGAGGTCTTACGGGTTTGGAACGACATGAGGGGGGAGTAATTCATGACAGAATTTTCATTTTTGGGTGAACTATTCCTTTAACAACTGCAGGGTTTGTAAACCAGTTAACTGTGATGACTAACTGCTGAAAAAGATGCACTGGGAGCAGCTATTTTTATCAGGGAGGAAACACAAATTATTGCCCTCAAGCTAACTCATTATAATCATAAAAACACAGTCAGAAACGCACCTTAACAAGAGAGCGATATCCATTGGCGGGGATATGAGGGTCAAAGTCAAAATGGTGATAGATGGCAGCGAATCCAGAGATGACAGGCTCCAGGCTCCGGGCGTGCTCCTGGATAGTTGTCATGGCGTACTCCAGGCGCTGAGTTGCGTCCCCGGTTTGGCCCTTTGTGGCCCCAGAGAAGAAGGCGGCATTTTCTTCACAGACATCATATAAAGCAGTGAACACTGCCTTGGTGTCCATCACTACATGGAATCAGATGGGTTGAGGACAGAATAATTACTTCAGATTGGCACATACTCTGACACACTTTAAAGCCAATATAGAGTGATTAAGCTCAAGACAAAAGCCAAGCACTTGCATAGGCTATGGTTATAAACAGCACTATAAACATTTAATAGATCCGTCAACTATAAATACTTCAGCCAAAGCACTTCAGAAAATAATTTTCTTCATCAGTACTTTGTCATATTTTCCAGTAAACCTCCTTAAAACAAGATAAATGCACTTAAGATTTCATTAAACATTAGGATTTGGTTTAAGAGTACATACATTACCATTACAAAGTTTGGCAACTGAAAGATTTTTATTGTTATTTTTTAATTTTTTAATAATGCAAGGATGCATCAAACAGATTAAAAGTTATATTTCAAATAAATGCTGTTCTTTTGACTTTTAATTCATCAAAAAAATTAAATCCTGAAATCCTGTTTTTAACATTAATAATAATAAAAACAATAAAAGGATCATGAGATACTCAAGACTGGAATAATAGCTGTGGCTAATGGAAACACAAAGATATAATCTATAAAAACAAGAACATTTTTTAAGTAAATTTATCATTTTTAGGGATGTTACAATGATCACTGTAAAATAAGACAGTGTTTAACAGTTCAGTGCTTGTGAAAACATACTCAGCTAATAAGTCCTACAACTATCACACAAAGAACTACACATCCAACAGACTCTATGAGGACACATTATGATACACTGTCACCTTGAAGATGCTGACTCTTAAGAAAACTGCAATTCCATGTTTTCTCTATAGGAAAAGACAGGAGCAAACTAAAGGGGACAGAAGCTGTGGACGGTTTTACAGGACATACTAGTGAGTAACCATGGGCATCAGCCTGCTACTGTACAGTCACACACTCATGCACATTTATCTGATCAGGATTGACATGCAAGATACAGAGACAATACAGTTGAGTAAGGTCTCTCAGTGACAAGATTAGGTATGGCTAGGTAAATCTGTTGTACTCCGTGACAGACCAGACAACTGAGAGAATCACAAACAACTTCACAACACTAGACAATGGCAGGAATATTGGGAACCCCCCAAACAAACCTTTGTATGTTCTCAGACAAAACCCAAAATGCAAGCAAATACATCTTTAGCGTAATCATTTTTATTGTCAGGTACAAACTTGGGTGCTGCCCCACAACTAAGAGTGATCAAACCCTAAACTACAGTTAAAGAAACTTTCAGTCTTACTTTACATTGGGGTGGAAAGACATTTTACAAACAACATAAAGGGTTTGTGCTTTGAATGTGGGAATCCAAAGTGCTTACTTAGTTTTCTACATCAAGAGAACATTTTTGTTTACATGAAAAACATTTCCAGTGTTATTTAGAGCTGAATTCCCCACATATCCTCTTATCTGTTGCACATTTGGTTTAAAACCGGCTCTGTCCCTTTTTCTTTCTGCCCTTTACCACAGATAAACCCTCCCAGCATTTGCCCAGTCATTCTCCTCTCAGACTTTCCAAACAGCCTTTTTCCCCACTGCCAAAGTATCCCATGTTGCCCCTCTACCTCCTCCCTGTGACTGGCCGTAATCTCTTCCCCTCATTGGCAAAAACAAACAACACATCTTCCTCTCTCATGGAGGATTGTCCTCTATTCTCTTCCATTTTTGTACCCTGTCCTCATTGTAAAGGCTGTAGCCAGACCCTGAGAGAATAGTGTTCTAATCTGTGCATGGGAAACCAAGTATGTTTCTGTGTCACTGTCACCTGCTCAACTGCTTCCATTGAGAGACTATAATCCAGCAACTGTTGTAAAACTAGTCATGTGATTTGAGAAATGACTTTAACTGCTATGCTGGGTTTCAGTTCAGAAGCAGGTATTAGATTACGGACTAAATTAACCTCATGCTTGTGAATGATCTAAATCTTTCATTATGGAAACGTGCAACTAGAGAACCTACCACTCAATCCCTTTACTCACTGAAAGACTTCCAGCACCAGTTTAACACAGCAAAACAAACACATGGACACTTGAAAACATTCCAAAGTTAAGAATTCTTAACTTTCAATAATATGAATTCAAGGCTCTTGGCCGATTTTTGAAAGAAAAACACTGACAAATCTATTTTAAATCTAGGTTAAATAGGAGTTAAGCTTGATTTAAAAAAAATCTCACAAATTGTAAAACAAACAAAAAAAAATGTTATCAGAAATCTCCATACAATGGAAGTCCCTCACAGACATTCATTGTAAGTCTGTAACTATCATGACACTACTGTATTAGAAATGAATGTGTAAGGGTTAGTTCACCCAAAAATGAAAATTCTGTCTTTAATTACTCACCCTCATGTCACTCCAATCCCTCAAGACCTTCGTTCATCTTCGGAACACAAATTAAGATATTTTTGATAACCTCCGTAGACAGCCCTCCGTAGACAGCAATGCAACTGTAATGTTTCCAGGTCCAGAAACGTAGCAAGGACATCGGTAAAATAGTCCATGTGACATCAGTGGTTCAACCGTAATTTTACAAAGCTACGAGAATACTTTTTGTGTGCAAAGAAAATAACAACATAATTTATTCAACCCCAGAACGTAATCAATGTAATGAGCATTGCTTACGCTCAGTAGACAGCGCGGCGGGCATGCTGAACGTAAACCGCATTACATTAATTACATTAATTACTTACATTAATTACGTTCTGGGGTACTCTCCAAAATGGCAGAAGATAATAATAATAATTTATAATAATTTATGCATTTAGCAGACGCTTTTATCCAAAGCGACTTACAGTGCATTCAGGCTATACATTTTTTTACCAGTATGATGGTAACAGAAGATGGTAACTAGGGCAGAAGAATTGTTGAATAAATTATTACTGTTTTCTTTGCGCACAAAAAGTATTCTCATGGTTTCGTAAAATTACGGTTGAACCACTGATGTCACATGGACTATTTTACCGATGTCCTTACTACCTTTCTGGACCTGGGAACATTCCAGTTGCATTGCTGTCTAAGGAGGGTCAGAGAGCTCTCTGATTTTATCAAAAATATCTTAATTTGTGTTCCGAAGATGAACGAAAGTCTTACGGGTTTGGAGCGACATGAGGGTGAGTAATTAATGACAGAATTTTTATTTTTGGGTGACCTAACCCTTTAAAAGTAAAGAGTACAACTGTAAAAAACTAAATTATAGTAGTTTCATTGAGAAAGCTATAAATACATGTCACTTCAATTAGAAGCTAAAAATTAACAAAGACTAATAACTTTAATTGAAATTAATTAACAATTTAGTAAACTATTTAATTAACTTAAAACATATTACACTGAATACACATTACTGTTCAAAAGTTTGGGGTTGGTAAGATTTGAGAGAAGTCTCACCCCGGCTGAAAAGAAAGAAAGAAAGAAAGAAAGAAAGAAAGAAATTAAAATAACCGTTTTCAAATTCAATACATTTTAACATGTAATTTTTACCTTTGATGTCACAGCTGTATTTTCAGTTGTCTTCAGTGTCACATGATCCTTCAGAAATCATTCTAATATGCTGATTATTATCAATTTTGGAAACAACTGTGCTGCTTAATATTTTTGTTGCATACAAAGTTCAAAAGAACAGCATTTATTTGATATATAAATCTTTTGTTCATTATAAATGTCTTCACTGTCACTTCTAATCAATTTAATGCATCCTAGCGGAATAAAAGGCATTAATTTCTTTAAAGGGGTCATATGATGTTGCTAAAAAGAACATTATTTGGTGTAATGAAATGTGTTTATGCGGTTTAAGGTAAAAAAAAAAAAAACATTTTCCACATACTGTACATTATTGTTTCTCCTCTATGCCCCGCCTTTCTGAAACGCATCGATTTTTACAAAGCTCATCGGTCTGAAAAGCGAGGTGTGCTGTGATTGGCCAGCTATCCAGTGCATTGTGATTGGCCGAATACCTCAAGCGTGTGACGGAAATGTTATGCCCCTACCATACTGTGATGCCGTGTCCAAGCCGGAGCGACAAGACAAAAACATTTAAACCCATTATAAACGAGGCATTTGTTGCATCCAGTGGGGACATAATTACGGATTATAATGACTTATACTATCTTTTTACGCGTTGCATCGCGCCGCGTAAACATAAAACCATGTCTGCAGATTCTAACTTTTATAAAGAATATCTGTTTGGATTTGAGACTTTAGTCTTTACAACTTTACAGATCTTCTTTATGCACCAAGAGCTTGTAACACTTCAAAGAGAAAGGAAAAATTGAAATCGCATCATACGACCCCTTTAAAAAAAAAACTTACTGACCCCAAACTTTTGAATGGTAGTACACACACAAACACACACACCAGAATTAAATATCTTTGCTAATATTTGCAAATTTAGTTGATGGACAGAAGATGCGAAGTACAACATTTATCAATCAACAGTCAACTGATCAATCAGCACTGTTCATTCAGAACCACAATCGCCCTGGAAAAATCCATCAAAGAATGAAAGCACCCAACTGAAGCCATACTTTGAATGTGATAATTCAGGTCTGCACCGATCAGCTCAATTAGTCCAAACATAATACTTATCTACAGTCAAAGCCTGACCTATCCAGCTAAGCAAAATTACTTATTCAGTGACACTGCTTTACAATACATGAATACAAGTTACCCATAAAGCATACAGCACAATCCAAAGCAGAGGAGCAACAACACACATTTAAGGTACACAAGGGGTGAAGCGGAGCTTAAGTGAGAGAATCTACAACCTAAAAACATGCAGAACAGAACACATACACAAAAGAGTCTGAACGTTACCCTCATCAGAACTCATGCTGTGGTCCTTGTGCGTCCTGTCCCATCAACACCCGCACAGCCATGGAGTCAGAGAAATAGAGACATGGGAAGGGGAGGTAAACAAAAGGGGAAGACAGTAAGATAGAGTGTTTCGATTGGATGCTCTCACTTGCCCTCCCTCCCACTCGTTCATCCCCTCAGATCACAATGTGACTTTCTGTCACTTTCTATTTCATCCTCTCTTCTTTTCTGCAAACTCTTCTTCCTTTATTCTCATTCGTCTCATTCCCAGGAGAGAACAGCTTTGTTATTTTCTCCCATACCAACTGTCCCTCTGTTGTGGTGAGATGACTTTTCACCCAGTGTACAATGAAAACAAATTACTCACTGCAACATGCACACATGTGCCACACACACACACACACACACACACACACACACACACTGTTTGCCGTTTAAAGGATCCAGGCTAACTGTGTCTTAGGACCAACTAGCCTCTACAAAACCACAACTGCCTAAATAACCCTTGTCTCTATTGGTTGTATCACCAGGGGGCGGCCAGTGACCTTCACCCTAACTGAACGATCCAAAACTGCCACCTCTCTTTGACACAAGAAGGTCCAGACAGAAACAAACAATGACCTCTAAAACATTATTTTTGTCATTGCTACAACAAAAGTGGTGCATTACACAGATGATACTTTAATGAGGTCATAAATTGTATTAGGCAATTGTGTTAGGTCATATGGTGAGACAGTAATATCCATATTGCACTGTACAATAAATCAATTGCTAAAATGTATTTCTGTTGAAATTACAACGTAAACAATGTTGAGCATAAGTAACATTAGTATAAATCCACCTTCAATAACTAGGAACGCACCAATATTGAAATTCTGGCCGATACAGAAAACTATTTTCATGCTATGGATGATAATAAAAATTAATTAAATTTAAAAAATGAAATAATAAAACACTAAACATCAATTAATGCTAAAAATGTAAAGTATAGGCCTATTTAAATGCATAAGAATGCCTTTTAAATTAAGAAAAAAATTTATACAAAATAATTTATTTATATTGTTAAATTAATATGTTAATTAATTTACAGTCATGTGGTAATATGCATGTCACACTTTATAATAAATTACTATAATTAATATACTTTCAATCAATTACTAAAATGTAATTCTAATTAAATAATATTAAAAAACTATAGAGTAAACAACACTGACATTAATTTAAAAAGCCTTAAATACCTAGAGACACACAGTACAGATCATTATTTTTATTTCATAGATTAAAAATAATATAAATAAAAAAACAAAAAATCTATTAACGCTAAAATCGTAAATGCTATAGGACTAAGTGAATTTCCTCATTTTAAATGAGAAAGAAGATTTATACAAAAAAATCCATTTGATAGTTTTAATAAATTTGAATTGTTAGTGTTTTTTAAAGGGGTCCTATTATGCTCTTTGACAAAGTCTTGATTTTGTTTTGGGGGTGTACTAGAGCAGGCTCTCATACTAGGTTGTTCGAAAAACATTTTTCACATATTTTACATTATTACAATACCTCTCTACACAGTCTGGCATGAGCTGCTCGAATAGTTCCTGTATCAAATGAAGGCCCACCTTCTGAAATACGAAATGTGTTGTGATTGGTTAGCTGGGCCAGTGTGTGTTGTGATTGGTTAGCTGGGCCAGTGTGTGTTGTGATTGGCAGCACTCGGCGCCTGGTCAGGAAATGTCACACCCCTTACCATAGCCGCCTGCGAGCATCAGTGTAAATATTGCATCAAAATCAAATCAATTTGAGCGCGATTTAAACCCGGATGATTGTAACCACTCTAAGTTGGTCTGCCTTGGGAAAGCTAGCGCGTCTCCAACATAGTGATATAACACTCGTTGCCTTCTCTAGTGCAGCTCAACCAGGTCTCGTCCCATTCGTCGATATTTGTGATATCACAAATCCCGGAAAATATGCGTTGTAGTCCAAACGAGTCGTTCGTTGTAGTTTTTGAAAAGTGATTTCTGTTAAATAAAATATCTCCTTTTGAAGTGGACTTTGAACTTTGTAACTTTGCAGATTTTTATGCTCAAACAGCAACATTACAGATTAACTAAAATTGAAAAAGTGAAAAAGCATAATAGGACCCCTTTAAAGACTAACTTGCTAAGTAAGTGTTGGATAACAGCAAAGGAAATCAATGTGTAAAAACAGAGGAAATAAATTATTAAAAGTGTAATGTAGACTGATAGAAAAAATTCTCTGATAACATACTGATACGCATCTATACAAATTTTTCCTAGCAAACTTAAAATTGGATAAAAATATATATATATACATTATTATTCTTTAGAATGTATTAACTGTCTACTGACCTCCATATTTATAACAAACTTGAATGTACATGATACAAAGTGAGTATGCTAAAGAACCAATCCTATGACTATCAATTCTTAAGGGGAAATTACTTCTTCATACATTTTCAAATGTCAAACTATCTATTGGAATAGGAAAAAAGTGGAAGATCAACAGAAAATAGCAAGGGATGTTCTCAGTGTGTATAAATTTTCTCATCTGGCTAGAAATGAGATCAAATGCTCAACTTTCAAAACAGAAGCTTACTTTTGAAATATAAATAGACATTTGAAATAACTAGAAATAGACCTATTTCTTTATTATTGTTAAATATATACACATGCAACTAGCTTGTGTCACATTGCTCATGTATAATGTTTGCACTATTTAGGTTACAAAAGTTCACTGCTGGAGATTAGCTGCTGGCAAATCAGAATTTATGGTACAGTTTATGGTACAAACCCAGCTTATTTTCAACACAAACTACAAAAGGCTTGCATACAGATGGATTTCCCAATATTCTCATGGATCAAAGACCACACATTTCTACAAAGAATCTTTGTGAACCAAAGTAAACTAACCAGACCTGAACTTTCTCTCTCCGTTCTACATACGTATATCCAGGACCACATCTTTTATTCTTTCAGCTGGTAATAAGGAACAACGAAAGGCCCCGAGCAGATCTTTGTCCCAGATTATTTAGCAAATGTGGTAAAATCATCTCAACAGGAAAAGAAAAACAATGCACTGGCCCTGACATCAGTGAAGAGTTTCCTCTCACTCTCATCCAAACCTGACAGCAGCAAGTAAACAACTTATCTACACATACAAATGTTATATGATTAATATATGAATGTACAAGACTACAGATATTTTCATAATGTTCTTCTGCACAACTGAGAACTGTGTTAAAATGACTGATTGAGGCTTTTATGGCGAATCCTCTCACTGATCCCTAGACAAGGCAGGGGTCTATGGTAAAAACCTGAAACCCAGACAGCCAGTGAGAACATGGGAACCATCTCAATAACACTGTGGTGAAATAAAAGGTTATTTGAAAGGTCAAAGTGGCCAACAGCTACTTTTAAATGAGGTCTAAAGCGGTGTCAAGATACTTAACTTAGCCTTGTGCCGTTTTACAAAACCTTTCTTTTGTGGAAGATAAATATATAGTTCAGTCATCAAACTCTAGATGGTGCAGGCTGACGGGTTGTTAACGTAACTGATGATATTCAGAGAGTTAAACGACTTGGCATACTGATTGATTCATGATGCATATGCAGTCAATGAGCTTACTGCCTTGCATTTATATGGCTGGCTAGCATTCACTTGATATTCCTGCAGTGCGCTTTCAGAGTTTCTCTGAAACCCTCCCGTATCGCCATATGCATTGTCAGTTGCAATTTCCTGTACATGCTTGCAGCAGCAGCAATAATCTACAACTACAGCAATAACCAACAGCAGGCCGATCACATGGTTTGCTGACATGGTTTTATGTTTACGCAGCGCGATACAACGCAACGCGTAAAAAGACAGTATAAGTCATTATAATCCATAATTATGTCCCCACTGGATGCAACAAATGCTTCATTTATAATGGGGTTTTGTCTCGGCGCTCCGGGACACAGCATCACAGTATGGTAAGGGGCCTAACATTTCCGTCACATGCTTGAGGTATTCGGCCAATCACAATGCACTGGATAGCTGGCCAATCACAGCACACCTCGCTTTTCAGAACGATGAGCTTTGTAAAAATCGTTTCAGAAAGGCGGGGCATATAGGAGAAACAATTATGTACAGTATGTTGAAAAAATGTTTTAACCTTAAACCACATATTAAACATTTCATTACACCAAATACACAAAATAATGTTCTTTTTAGCAACATAATATGACCCCTTTAACATTGTCATGTCCATCACCATGCTAAAATCTTCAGAGAGTTGTCATGATTGAAATGAAGATAATTTGGTAAATGTCTGTTTTTTTTTCTATCCATACAGTGGAAGTCAATGGTCACCGAAATGGTTTGGTTACCAACAATCTTCAAAACATCCTTCCACAAAACAAAAGAAGGTCATACAGGTTTGGAACAACACAAGGGTGAGTAAATTATAGATTTTTCATTTTTGGGTGCATTATCCCTTTAAGAGCATCTACACTTACTACACACATTTACAGTGATTATAAGCTTAAACCACACAGACAGACGTCAATCTAGAGCATTCATGAGTCAGGCATCCTAAAGCATATCCTGATGTATTGCAGCAAAGTTTAGGCAAATACTCACATGTCATTCAAACGTATGTATATTCTCTCCTGTCTAAAACGTGCTGTCAACACACTTTGAATAAAATGTCATCCTTAAGTAGAAATGTCATTAATGCATAACTGCAACTCTACACTACAGTGTTACAGTTAAGTTACCGTAGCCGACGTATTGCATAGCACAACATAATTCAAACGTAATTCAAACCTGTTGGCAAACATATGAGACATTTTAAAACCTATGTTTACATATTAGTAAGGAAATAACAGTGTTCATACGATGTGCTACATTGTACCAGCATTACTGTACAGTAAGCGCTCGGGCTTTAATCTTCTGACACTTCTGGAACTAACTAACCCGGAGCGCGAATGTCATTTACAAGCGACAACTCGCCCCCCAAATAAAGCGGTTATGTTTATTAAATGAGAATATACCTATTGGACCCTCTTTGTGTTTTGACGAGCGTCTTCCGTTTACTGCTTTTTCAAGAACACCGCTCCCAGACTTCTTTGCAGACGCCATCTTCCTCAAACACGAATGATTACCTCCCCCCTCTGTTCTGTCTGGACTTACCTTACAGGCGGTCACGCCCACATCAAAATCTACAGCCAATAACGTGTCAGAGAGTAATCAAAGCACCTATCACTTCATAGTACTGCCCATCACGCTGCCCACATTGAGCCAAATGACACTCCTACAACGTCAAAATGCAATACAATAAAATAAATATGCCAGTTTCTCTAATGTATTGTCTTTAATTGCCGATTTAAGTATCCAGTGCATTTATTTATTTATTTGAAATGTTCCTCAGGACACACTTAAAAGGTCACATTCATCAAAACGCTAAATGTTTTATACAATTCATTCAAACCATTAGCAGATATATTTAATTTACCACTGCAAAATACAAACAAGCTTATCTTCAAACTAATAAAGAGATACAAAGACATATTGACAGCAGGCTCATGAAATTTACGACAAGTAATACACAGAGTTCACTTTTCCCTTGACTGTCTTTAAATCACTTTATTTATTTGTTTGTTTAATGTTGTTTGTGGTGCAGATTTCTGTCTGGAATGCATCCAATATGCAGAATCAACATTAAATCAACATCACACGATCAGTGTGTCTGACCTTACAGAGGGGCATGGTGCCAGGGATCAACACACACATCAGCAGCAACACCCCTTCTGCTGTAATGACACTGTTCTTCACACTCTTGCTGAGGTTCAAGGTCTTCTACAATGGTTCTAATTAAAGAGACCTGAAGACTTTTCAGAAATGACAAGTAGATCAAACTGACCATGGACCATTGTCTTAAAAAAGTTAGAGAAAAATGAAACAAACAGACAAAAATAGAGTCCAAAAGAGCTGAAACTTTCACTTCCTCTGATAGTAAAACCTGCATGTGTGTATATAAAGAGAGTTAAGTAACACAAACTTAGCATGAATGAGAGGAATTTGGGTTTATGTCATTGAATGGGTTATTTGTGCCAATTGAATGATTTGTGGGGATTATTGCACAATGCGACCTCTTAGAGAGCATGAGTGCAAGCATTGTTATGTTTGTGACTTTCATATTTATGCAATTAAGAATAAATAGGTAGACAGTGGGCCTATACATCAGATTATGTATTACATTAAAATGCATAACTGTAAGTGTATATACCGTATTTATTTTAGATTTATTATAGACTACTGTTCAAAAGTTTGAGGGCAGTAAGACTGTTTTTGAAAGATAATACTTTTTTTTTTAGCAAGGATGCAATAAATTAATCAACAGTGACAGTAAAGACTTTGTTACAAAAGTAATTCTATTTCAAATGCTGTTCATTTGAACTTTCGATCAATCAAAGAATCCAGTGGAAAAAGTTCACTGTTTCCATAACAAGTAATGTTTCTTGAGCACCAAAAGAAGGTTCAGTAGAGCAATGGCTGATTCAATTAAATTGAGTAAATTGTAATATTTCACAAAATTACTCTTTTTACTGTATTTTTTGATCAAATAAGTGCAGTCTTGGTGAGCGAGTGGTCTTGGTCTTTTTTTAACAGTGATACTGACAAGAAATAAAAAAATTAATCATATTAAACATATAACTGTGGTCTGACTCACTGTATACTTAAAGAAAGGTACCATGGGTAAAGATGTGAAGAGAGTTATAATTCAGTTTACACAGGTACAAGCCGGTATCATTGAGACGGAGCCTCTTGAAAAACAGCAAATGGCATGTGACTCCACCTGTCAGTTCTGTTGTCTTGTTCATCAGATTGTTGGACAGATTTACTAAGCTGAGCATTGTGGTTCCATTGGTGGTGTGAATATTCATGATCCAGGTGACATGGGGACTCTTATTCCAGCTGTAGCAGCAGCGGATGGTGGCTTCATGGAAGAGAGCCACACGCACCAACGGCTTATCTGCCTCCAGTTTCAGGTCTTCAAAACCAGCGTTAGCAACAACTTAAGGACAATAAAACAAAAAATCATATAACAATATGCTCTAACATTGGGTGACACAAGAGCACAAAAAAGTATAAAACAGTCCACAGTGGGGGGTTTCTTTAAGATTTGCTTATATGTGATTAAAACCCTCTAACATAAAAGCAGCTCAACATATATCTTTAATTTCCCCCCAAGGGGCATCAACTTCTATCCACATGATATCAGCATGTTTAAATCTATTAGCTAAACTGAACACTTCCCACCCACAAAAAGCTGTATAGACAAGACTTGTCATGTGAAAAGCTACTTAATACAGTGTAAAATTCAATTAGACCCTTAAAACTGTAAGTCACACTGAAAAAGACAAAGATGTAAAAACTGGTGAAAAATCTAGACTGGTAGCAATAAGATGCAAATTGTAACAGCTGCTCTGAGATTAAATCAGCTTCACTGAAGCAGAACATAGACGTGCAGATGGAAACTTTGTGTACTTTGTTCTTTTGTAGGAGATAAAAAGTTTATTGCTGAATTTGAAATGGTATGCTGTCGGAAAACTAAATTTAAATTTCTCTATACATATAGGCCTACATATATTTTTGGTGATCAAAGAGAGCTTAGATTACTATAAAACCAGTTAATTATCACAAACGCTTAACAAATATTAGAATTTTACAATAAAACTAACATTACATACACACATGAAATATATGTTAATGCTTACCTGCCTACACAAACGCAAGAAAATGACCAGATAAACCAGATAATCTCTCAAAAACCCTCTTGCTGCTCATCAGTAAATATGCTGTTCAAGTGTTTGTCTTCTCTTCCTGTATCATCTACACCCACCCATTCTTCTATTTCAGTTTTTGGTGAACACACGCAAATACAGGGGTTGGACAAAATAATGTGAACATTCAGGTGTTTTACCACCATTTGCCTTTAAAACAGGTTTGAATCTTCTTAGAAAAGAACTTTTGAATAGTCTCTAGTTTAATGTTGACTACAAAAAACATCTGCCAGTTGCTTTACAGATGTTGGAGGAGGGAATCTGCTTCTCACCATTATCTCCAAAACTGGCTACTGTAGTCAGTTTTTGTGGAAACATGGTCTTCAAGGTGAATTTGGAAGCTTGCTGACACTCTGCTGCAGAAGTTCTGCATTGTTTGGCCCCTATCATTCACTTTCAGTTTTCATCCACTATTCTTCTCTGATTAGTCTTGCCATGGTTTGTGTACGCAGTCATAATCATAAAGACTGTTGTTCGTAAAACACCAAACAAACTGGGCCATTAAAGTTACAGACGCTCCGGCTAAACAGACTCCCATAATTTTTCATTAATTTTTTGGAAGTCATAACAAGTCACCCATTTTCCCCACAATTTGTACTAAACAACTTATACTATACACAAACTAGAGAATATAGACATCATAACTGGATAAAGATTATTGGAAGATAATTTGATTATTTTTACTGTACCCAGTATAAATTATATTAAGCCTATAATAACGGATGTTCATATTATTTAGTCCAACCTCTGTACATTCTTCTCTTTTTTTGGATAATGTGGTAATCTCTTAATATTAACCGAATGCTGTTAAAAATAAAAACAATACAAGCTCATTTTTGATCATTTATTAAAAAAAAAAAAAAAGTACCTACATTTTTCTTATATATCTTACATATAAAATCAAAGCCCAAATACACAGAATAGTCCTTGCATAATCATTTATATAGACAGACAGCAATGGAATGCCTGTAATGAGTGGACTCCTGCACAGAATTACATAAAAGACGGTCATGGATTGCAGAAGGTTTAAAAGATCTAACAAAGAGCACTCAGTACTAAGCACTCGGCAATTTTTAAGAACAACAAATGAGTGGAACTGCTATAATTTGGCGGGTCTGGAGCAAAATATCAGATTAATATTTAACACTGAGCATCGCAAAATGAGGAGAAGGCAAGTATGCCCGTGCCTGTCAGTTGGACTAAAAGAGCCCTTTAGAAATTAAAACAAACCCAATCTGCACAAGGCACCCTATAAATAGATTTAAACATACAGATATATCACAATGTATACATATATGTGACAGATACATATGAAAAGTTTAAGGAATGAGAGAGAATGACACCACACCCAAAACCCTGTCTTATCAGTTATCAAAAGTTGAAGGCTCAATTTGAAACACACTTTCTAACCGAATCTAAACTGTGGTTAGTTCCACATCAAAAATAAGACTCTTGCCATGAAAGCGAAATTCAGTGAAGCCTTTTATAGTTGTTCTGGTTAAGGGTGTACTTTGTCTCTCTCAGTCCTTCTTTTATAACAAGCAATGCATAGTATGGTAATTACATAAATTTCTAAGAAAACCAAAAGAACAGAATCAAAGAAAATGAATAAACCACCCATTCAAGCAATCGAGAATGAAAAAAAATTAGCAAAAGGACTGAAGGAAAGTGAAGTTGGTAGAACAGATCTTGCACCATGATAGTTTTATTACCAAACTTTAAACCGTTTCATTTGCTACTTCTAAAAGGAAAAGGCTATGAAAATGAACAAAAGGTCTTATTGACATTTACTAGGACCAACACTGCTGCCCAGAATGCAAGACTTCTGGCAAATTGTTCTGGTAAACCATTTTGCGAAGGAAATCAGCTGGGAAACCAGCAGGAAAAGGAACCAAGGCCTTACAGAAATCAATATTATCAACACAATTACAATGTAAAAATGAATATAGATCACATTATGTAATAGATAAGGTAAAATAAGTTGCATAAATTTGGAAGTCGGTCGAGGGTAGAAAGACCTGTTGCAGTAGCATCATGAATACATCAAAATAATTACAGTACTGGTGAAAAAAACCTACAGTTTGTGTTCCTGTCTCTGAGATATAACATCATTTTAAAACCCTCCAAGTGCCTGATTGTCTGTGGTCTGGTTTCATAATTAGATAAGGAGAGCAGGAGAGAAAAAGCTGGTCCCTTAAGCTGGAAAAAAACATGGATTGATAATGAGAATAAATATACTTCTCTATTACTCATACTGCAATTCAATTCTGAACCAACTTAATTCCTTCGGTTTTAAATAGGATTATAAGCCAATCCATCCACTTCACCTTTTTGTGGGTTGATCCAGCAGCTAAGGCGAACGCTCGGAGT